GACACGGAGGGGCTCCTGCCTTTGCTTCCCTGTGCTGATGGGAGCTGTTAGCGGGCGGCTATTTTGGCACCGTCGCGCTGTTTAAAATAGTCTCAACCACAGCGCCTCTGTGTGGCGGCGCTCTGCTGAGCGAGACTATGCATGCTCGCACGGGCCCCCCCAACCCCACCGCATGGAGACCATGGCCAAGTGGGGGGCTGAACCCGAGCACAGCACACCACTGCTCTCACACTCACGCCTGTGTTCAGGCGTATGTTTGTGTGTGTTCATGCGCGTGTGTGTGGGGACCGGTAGTGTCGTGGTTAGTTCGATTCCGACTCACGGCCAACACCAGTGACCAGAGAGGCCTGCTGTTCATCACACCCGTGCTGGTGAGAGAGGCCTGCTGTTTTGGGGCCTGCTGTTCATCACACCCGTGCTGGTGAGAGAGGCCTGCTGTTCAGTACACCCGTGTTGAGGGGCCTGCTGTTCAGCACACCCTTGCTGGTGAGAGAGGCCTGCTGTTCAACACACCCGTGCTGGTGAGAGGGGCCTGCTTTTCAGCACACCCGTGCTGGTGAGAGAGGCCTGCTGTTCAGCTCACACGTGTTGAGGGGCCTGCTGTTCAGCACACCCGTGCTGGTGAGAGGGGCCTGCTGTTCATCACATCCGTGTTGGTGAGAGGGGCCTGCTGTTCAGCACACCGGTGCTGGTGAGAGAGGCCTGCTGTTCAGCACACCCGTGTTGAGGGGCCTGCTGTTCAGCACACCCGTGCTGGTGAGAGGGGCCTGCTGTTGAGGGGCCTACTGTTCAGCACACCCGTGTTGGTGAGAGAGGCCTGCTGTTCAGCACACCCGTGTTGAGGGGCCTACTGTTCAGCACACCCGTGCTGGTGAGAGGGGCCTGCTGTTCAACAGACCCGTGCTGGTGAGAGGGGCCTACTGTTCAGTACACCCGTGCTGGTGAGAGGGGCCTGCTGTTCAACACACCCGTGCTGGTGAGAGGGGCCTGCTGTTCAACACACCCGTGCTGGTGAGAGGGGCCTGCTGTTCAACACACCCGTGCTGGTGAGAGGGGCCTGCTGTTCATCACACCCGTGCTGGTGAGAGAGGCCTACTATTCATCACACCCGTGCTGGTGTGAGGGGCGTGCTGTTCATCACCCCCGTGTTGGTGAGAGAGGCCTGCTGTTCACTCCCATGCTGGTGAGAGAGGCCTACTGTTCATCACACCCGTGTTGGTGAGAGGGGCCTGCTGTTCACCAATCCCATGCTGGTGAGAGGGGCCTACTGTTCAACACACCAGTGCTGGTGAGAGAGTCCTGCTGTTCAGCACACCCGTGCTGGTGCGAAGATGGCGCTGATGATGGTAGCCTCAGCCGGTCGGTGCGCCCTGTTTTGTCTTGTTTTGTCTGTCAATTCAGTGTTTTGCCAAGATTTTCGGAGTTCTCTAACAAGAGACGAACTTTTAAATATCAGGGAAACAACTCCTGTGGATTTAATTCCTACTTTTCTGCTTCCAGCGGCAGAATTAGTAGGCATTCTAGTCAATGCCGCGCTAGGCTTTGCTCAAGCAACGAAACGCCGCCCAAGGGGTAAACGGTCGGGGGCTCTAGTACGGCTACGCAGACGCGGGATCCGAACAGTGCTTCCGAGCTTTTTCCTCTCCAACGTACGTTCACTGTACAACAAAATGGATGAACTTCAGCTACTGATGGTAAAAAACAAAGACTTTCTTTCAGCTTCTGCATTGTGCTTCACGGAAACATGGCTGTGTGATTTGATTCCGGACACTTCGCTACAACTAGCAGGATTCCATCTTGTAAGATCGGATCGTGACATAGCACTCTCCGGCAAGACGAAAGGCGGTGGTATTTGTTTTTACATTAACAGTGGCTGGTGTGTAGATGTCACAGTGATTCTGCAACATTGTTCTCCACTCCTTGAATCAATTTTTATAACCTGTAAACCGTTTTACTCGCCTCGCGAGTTCGCGTCGCTCATTTTGGTCGGAGTTTATTTGCCGCCTTGTCCTCAGGTTAAAGAGGCCCAACGCATGCTCGCCGATCAGATTCTGAGTGTGGAGCGAGCAAATCCAGATTCGTTGGTTATCGTACTTGGCGACTTTAACAAAGGTAATCTCAGCCACGAACTCCCCAAATACATACAATTCATTAAATGCCCAACCAGAGAAGGGAACACTCTGGATCACTGTTACACTACAGTCAGTAGAGCCTACCACGCCGTCCCCCGAGCAGCACTAGGACACTCTGACCATGCCATGGTCCACCTGATTCCTGCATACAGGCAGAAACTAAAACTCTGTAAACCTGCTGTGAGGACATCTAAACAGTGGACCAGTGAGGCTGTGGAAGATTTGCGGGCGTGCTTAGACTGTACTGACTGGGATATGTTCACGACTGCTACCAATAGTCTGGATGAACTCACAGAGGCTGTGACGTCGTACATCAGCTTCTGTGAGGACTGCTGTATCCCAACACGTACCAGTGTGAACTTTAACAACAATAAGCCCTGGTTCTCAGCAAAGCTCAGAAGGTTGAGGTTGGAGAAGGAGGAAGCGTTTAGGAGTGGAGATAGAGACAGATTCAAGGAGTCGAAGAACAGGTTTAGCAAAGCGGTGAGAGAGGCTAAACGACTGTACTCAGAGAGACTAAAACACCAGTTCTCTACAAACGACGCTGCTTCTGTCTGGAGAGGGCTCAGGCAGATCACCAACTACAAACCCAGAGCCCCCCACACCACTAACGACTCCCGCCTAGCCAACGACCTGAACGAGTTCTACTGTAGATTTGAAAGACAATTGGACTGTCCTGAACCACCCCTTCCAACCCAAGAGGCCCCATCCCCCACCAATACTACAGAGACGACTATCTCCTTTCAGGAGGGAGAAGTTAATAGACTTTTCAAGAGGCAGAATCCACGCAAAGCAGCCGGGCCGGACTCTGTCTCTCCAGCCACCCTCAGGCACTGCGCTGACCAGCTGTCTCCGGTGTTCACCAACATCTTTAACACCTCCCTGGAGACATGCCATGTACCAGCCTGTCTCAAGTCCTCCACCATCATCCCTGTGCCCAAAAAGCTAAGGCCAACAGGACTAAATGATTACAGACCGGTCGCCCTTACATCTGTGGTAATGAAGTCTTTTGAGCGCCTGGTCCTGGCACACCTCAAAGCCATCACAGACCCTCTCCTGGACCCCCTTCAGTTTGCCTACAGAGCCAACAGGTCTGTGGACGATGCAGTTAACATGGCCCTCCACTTCACCCTACAGCATCTGGACGCCCCAGCATCCTACGCCAGGATCCTGTTTGTGGACTTCAGCTCTGCCTTCAACACCATCATCCCTGCCCTGCTTCAGGACAAGCTCTTCCAGCTGAACGTGCCATACACCACCTGTAAATGGATCACAGACTTCCTGTCTGACAGGAAGCAGTGCGTTAAGCTGGGAACACAAGTCTCTGGCTCCAGGTCCATCAGCACCGGAACTCCTCAGGGCTGCGTCCTTTCCCCTCTGCTCTTCTCCCTGTATACCAACAGCTGCACCTCCAATCATCTGTCCGTCAAACTATTGAAGTTTGCGGATGACACCACCCTCATTGGGCTGATCTCTGGTGGGGATGAGTCTGACTATAGGTGGGAAGCTGACAATCTGGTGACCTGGTGTAGCCAGAACAACTTAGAGCTAAATGCTCTAAAGACAGTTGAGATGGTTGTGGACTTCAGGAAGAATACAGCTCCACTCACCCCCATCACCCTGTTAGACTCCCCAGTAAAAATTGTAGAGTCCTTCCGCTTCCTGGGCACTATTCTCTCCCGGGACCTCAAGTGGGAATTGAACATCAGCTCCCTCACCAAGAAAGCTCAACAGAGGATGTACTTTCTACGGCAGCTGAAGAAATTCAACCTGCCAAAGACAATGATGGTGCAATTCTATACAGCGATCATTGAATCCATCCTCACCTCCTCCATAACCGTCTGGTACGCTGCTGCCACTGCCAAGGACAAGAGCAGACTGCAGCGTATCATCCACACTGCTGAGAAGGTAATTGCCTGCAATCTACCGACCCTCGAGGACCTGCACACGACAAGGTCTATGAGGCGAGCGAGGAAGATTATGGCCGATTTCTCCCACCCTGGACACTCTCTGTTTCAGCTACTCCCCTCCGGCAGAAGGCTTCGGTCCATCAGGACCAAAACCTCACGCCATAAAAACAGTTTCTTCCCATCTGCTGCTGGCCTGTTAAACAAGGCCAAGGGCTAACACTGTTTTTAACATTTGATCTACATAACGACACGTTGCTGATATTAACTATGTTTCCCTATTTGTATTTTTTAATTATATCTTAAAGCTATTTTATATTCGATATTTATTTAATTTTATATACTTCAGCCCCTTAGTGTTAGACTTTTAACCCTTATTATAGTAAGACTTGTTTAAAACTTATTTAAGATTTTAGATTCCTATATGTTGAATGTATGCACCATCCTGCCAAAGTAAATTCCGTGTCGGTGTGAACTTACATGGCGAATAAAACCCTTTCTGATTCTGATTCTGATTATCTGAATTGTTCCTGGGCCTCCCCTAGGTCGACTAAGCCTTATATGAGTACCTGGTGAAATGTGTAAAAGTATTGCAACTGGGGAGACAAAGGTGGCCGGGAGTGGTGCTCGCCACCCACCCCCTCATGTGCCGTGCAGGCCTCGCTAACAGCACTTGCCCCTCCAGTCGGTTAAGGCTATATGTTAAAAGCTATACGGGGGATCTTTGCGCTTTGTTCATGTGTTCGTTTATGCGCATGCCCATATTGGTGCCGGAGTCCATATCGATGCCTGTCTTTTGCTCATGCTCGTGTGCTCATACGTGCTCATGTGCTCACATACTGGGGTGCTCACACCTGCTTGTATACTCGCACCCACTCATGCTCACGCGCTCACGCCTGCTTGTGTCCTCACACCCGCTTGTGCCCGTGTGCTCACACCTGCCGCATATTTGTGCTTCAAGGTTCTGCTCAGCCACTGCTGACAAGAAGATCCGCGTGTACCGCTCAGACCTGCAAGGGAGCGAGGAGGTGCAGGTGAGAGCAGCCCGCTCATAGGTAACGCTGCTCGGCAACTGCGTGGCTCGGTAACCGTGTGCCTCCATGGTAGAGTGAGGGGCTCCAATTGGAAGGCTGTGGGGTTCAAAACCTGATTGGGAGTTCACTCGGCCCATCATTTTTTGGGAATCAATAAAATCTGTACCACTTTATGGGGAAGTCATCAGTGGTTCTCCTATAGAGAAAGACTCGTCCCCACCATAGATATATGGAATTTCCATTTTTCATCACTGGCTCAGGGTCTCAAACAGGCAATGACTGCTCATATGAGCAGGAAATCACGTTGACTTTGGTAATCATGTGCTCTGTAAGTTTGCAATTGGTACCGGTGTGTGCTCTGTAATTGTTCGCTTGGTAACGGTGTGCTCAGTAACCGTTGTTCGGTAACAGCGTACTCTGTGACCGTGTGCTTGGTAACGACGTCCTTGGTAACCATTACTCGGTAATGCTGTGCTCTGTAAGCGTTGCTCGGTAACGCTGTGCTCTGTAACCATGCACTTATTAACAGCGTGCTCGGTAACAGCGCGTAAGGTAACCATTACTCGGTAAAAGTGTGCTCTGTAACCATTACTCGGTAACGCCATGCTCTCTAACCGTGTGCTTGGTAACGGCGTGCTCAATAACTCTTTCTCAGTAATGGCGTGCTTGGTACCCGGTTGCTCGGGATTTGATAGTGGTGACCGGGTTGTGCCGCGCAGGAGCTAGAGGGACATAACGCGTACGTGAATGCAGTGGCGTTCGAGCCGACCGACGGGCATCTTCTCGCAAGCGTCTCCGACGACAACACGTGCCGGTACGTGGCATGGCACCCACCCCCCATGGCGGCAGCCTCACCGTCCTGAAGGGGTGTGGGGGGCACCCCAGGGAGAAGTTCTCCCCTCTGTCGTGACTCTCCCGGGGGGAAGTGCGTTGAGGAGTTGGCTTTGGCGAGCCGTTGGTGAGGGGGGGGGGGTCTGTGTTCCCACTCACGGCCGCCAAAAGCAATGACGAATATTCTAACCGGTCCTGGGTCTCCACTAGGTTGACTGGCCACCTTTCTCTAGGGAGAGAAAGGTGGCCAGGCATGTTGCAGGTCACCCACCCGCTTGTGCGCCGTATTGGCCTTCATATGTGCTACTCGCTAACAGTACTTTTCCCAACAGCCTTTGTAGGCTACACCGGGCATCTTTGTGAAGGTGTGTGCGGGGGTGTGTTTGTCTTTGTAAATGGTCTGGCAATACAACCCCCTACCTCCTTGTGGTGCCGGCCGGCAACGCTGTGGAGGCAGTGCCGTGGTGGGAGAGCCAATTTAGATTGACCATTCCTTTCATGGCATTTGTAACCACCACAGCGGCTAAATGGGGGCTCTGGATGGGTGCGAGGGGCTGGTAACCCCTCCACCTTCAATTAATTACCACAAAACCACGTATAAAATATCTAATTAATACGCTTGTGCCGAAGGCCCCGGGGGGACAGATGTCTATGATGTCTACTGACCAAACCCCATTTGGCGGAGCCAGGAGATTGAATCTTTACCCTCGGGGCTCCTCCAGAAACAACAAAAAGCCACTACGGATGGCCACGTGGAATATTCGAATGCTCACTGCGGAGGAGAGGCTGCCACTCTTCTGTCGGGAGCTGGACCGGTCCCGCCTGGATCTCTGGTATTCAGGAGATCTGGTGGACCTACTCTGGCTCCTGCCACCATGAGGGGTGGATAGTCCTCTACTCGGGGCAGGAGACCACCAAACAACAGGGAGTGGCTCTTCTTCTGAACAAAAGAACGAAGGGGCCGTGGGAGTTTGGCGGTGAGGTGTAGGAAGCGGTAAGCCCCAGACTACTTTGGGTTCGCCTTCCCATCAACCGGAGGCGAGGAGTGGTGGTCGTGGTTACTTATGCCCTCACCGAAGACGGACATCTGTGGAGGAATGCAGGCAAGGCTGATGAGTCGGATGCCTTCTATGACCTCCTGTCACAGGTGCTGCTAAAGTGTCCCCTCGGGATAGTCATCCTGTTGGGCGACTTTAATGCCCGAGTTGGTCATGATGCTGGCACCTGGTCTGGAGTGATTGAAAGGCATGGGCCAGATCAGCTCAATAACAACGGGGGGCGGCTGCTAGATTTTTGTGCAGCCTATGGGCTTATAATTACGAACACGCTGTTCCGGCATCAGCGCATCCACACAACATCATGGATGCATGCCGGGTCCAAGCAAGAACATATGCTGGACTACATAGAGACGGAACAGCGGATGCGGGCCCATGTCCTTGACACCAGGACCTACCGTGGAGCTGATCTGCCCACTGACCATCGACTTTTCATCTGTAAGATGCACCTGCCATTCTTACACTCCGGTGGTGGGTGTACACCCAAGACCCCATTCAAACCCAAGGTGGCCTGGTCTCAGCTAGCTGATGAAAGTTGCAAGCGAGAATTTAATCATCGTTTGCAGCTGGGGTTGTGACTCATGCAGCTGCGATGGCTGCTTTGAGTACACGGTCCAGACCTCCCCAGAGACCCTGGCTGACAGAGGAGGTGTTCAGGCTGGCTGAGAAAAAGTGACAGGCCCACTGTCATTGTGAGGCGCTGCAAGGATGGGTGGTGGTCGCGGGTTGCTGAGACGATGGAGTCTGCCTCAATGGCCCGCGATCACAAATCACTTTTTAACTCCATCAAAAAAGTTAGCTGCAGCGCCACACCTATTACCATCATTAGGGGAAAAAACGGTGATCCAATCTCCGACCCCCAGGAACAGGTTTGGAGATTTGCTGAGCATTTCTATGAAGTCCTGGGGGAGGGGAAATCCCTCGGTATGGAACACATCGTGGGACAAAGTGGGGATGACCCTGCTGAGGCTGTTGTGTCTCAAATATTAGAAGAAGTCACCACCTGTTAGTGGCTGTCTAAGGTGCCATCTGTTGAGGGAGTACTAAAGGCAATCCGGAGTCTGAGACCAGGAAAGGCACCGGGCAGAGATGATCTCCCAAGCGAAATGCTGAGGGAGGGTGGCGTTTGTGCACAGACTGCCCTACATGACATCATAACAACAGTCTGGACCACCGGATGGGTTCTACAGGATTGGAAGGATGCCCTCTTTCAGAAGGGGGACCGCACAGACTGTAACAACTACAGGGGCATCTCACAACTCAGTGTGCTGGGAAAGGTCCTGGCAAGGATTATTCAACATCGCCTTGCTAGGCACGCTGAGGAGAGGCTTGCGGAGCCACAATGCGGTTTCAATAAAGGGCGGTCATGCACAGAAGCCATATTTTCTGTCCGTCTGCTACAGCAGAGGTGTAGGGAATTGCAACAAGACCTACATCTCTGCTTTATTGACCTGGTCAAGCCCTATGATAGCATCAGTAGGTCTGGGCTCTGGGTTGTTCTCCGTGCTTTCGGAGTCCCTGACCCCCTGCTCACAATTATTAAGGACCTTCATGATGGTGAGCAGGCCCGGGTAAAACTACGTGGTCGGGAGTCGGAGCCATTCCTTGTTCACCTTGGGGTGCGACAGGGATATCCTCTGGCTCCCACATTATTTAACATATTTTTCGACCATGTAGTTCGTGAAGCCTTTGATGGCTGTACCAGAGGAATTTCCATCTGGTACAGATACAATGGGAGGCTGATCGATGCCCGGGTGCGGTCAAGGGATGGCTCCCTATTGGTCAACCACGTTATGTATGCCGATGATCTGGTAATTGCCACTAACTCAGAGGAGGAGTTGGAGGCGCTGCTGCTGAACCTGGAGCGTGCCACGAAGAGGTGGGGCCTTACCATCAGCCCCACCAAAACTAACCACCTGCCTGGGTATTATGTACCATCGGGCACTCCACCCCCACAACTCCCAATTGGTGATGGAGCAGTTGTGGAGAGAGTGGAGAGTTTCCCATACCTGGGCAGTGTGCTTATGACCAGTTCCGGTTTTGACAGCAGAGGTCTCCGAATCAGTCGAGCGGCATTATCTTTTCATCGGTTGCGTAACGTTGTGTGGAACCTGCCTGGTATGTCGCTCCGCATGAAGCTTCAGGTCTGCTCGGCCACGGTCATTCCCTCCCATCTCTACGCTTGCGAAACGTGGACCCCCCTAATGGAGCATCTTCGCCGGTTGGAAACATTTAGGCTGGCCTGCCTACGCTCCATCCTGGGTTTAACCAGGCTGGATTGTGTGAGGAGCTCACAAACCCTTGAAAGAGCTGGACAAAGTCCCATCGGTGAGCTCCTCCGGCAGGCAAAGCTGCGTTGGCTGGGTCATATAAGCCCCCATGCCCAGGCACTGCATGCCTAAACAGCTTTTGTTCGGCCGGATATAGGGGGCTAAACAGGCACCGCACGGTCTAGAGAAGAGATGAAGTGATGTGGTACAGGAGGATGTGGAGCGGAGTGGACTTGCCGATGACTGGTACCAGCGGTGTCAAGATCGGCCTCTGTGGAGGAGGCTCGTGAAGGACGCTACTGGACAGTTGGAGGCAGTCGCCCTCCAACAACAACGGAGGGCGGAGGAGCGACGCTCACAACAACGAGCGGAGCACCGGGTGGCTAAAACACAGCAAGTTGACATAGTAGGGGGCACAGGTGGTGCATCGGCCAGTCATCTCGGTCATCTCATTCAGTCGACCCGTGGCACCTGGGTCTGCCCTGTGACCTGCCAGCGGACGTTCGACACTTCACGTGGCCTCAGCGTGCACATAGCCTGGCACAAGCGTCGTGGTGACGTCACCGCCACTTAGTGGCGAATGGCGGTTGTTGTTGTCTTTGTGTGTATGATGGTGTGTTTCATGTATGCTGTGGACAGTGATCATGCATGTTGGTGTGCACGGTGAGTTATTGTCGGTGAGTGAATATGTTGGTGAGTTATTGTTGGTGTGTTGTGGTGAGCGCTGTGCCCAGGAGCCCATATTTATGGCCGGCAGCTGTGCACCCAGGGGTAGACAAGTCTGGGCACGCATGGGGAGAGTGCAGTGGGAATGTGGAGAGAGCCACACAGAGCCAGGGTAAGGAGCCTGCAGTCAGAAACCTGACTGCAGGATGTCTCTCTCAGTAAGCAGGGTGTCTCTCCCAGTGAATCAGAATATTTATTTATACTGGAGGAATCCAATGATCTCTGAAACTCTTTTTCACAGATGTCCAGTAGCGGTGAGTCAGAACGTTACAATGACAATACAAAATACGATAGAAGTGCAAAGTATAGGGAAGGTAAAAAAAATCACTTAAATATATACTAATAAAACTAAACTGCTGAAAGCTGAGTGCTGTGGGTGTCCTTTCCATAGAATCCAACCCATGCCCTGGACCGGGTTTTGCTGCTGGGTGTCCGGTAACCCCAATGCAGGGAGCTGGGGGAAGCATATTTTATTCCGAGTGGTGATGAGAGCCCTGGCTGTGCCGTCAGCTCCCCCTAACCCTCCACTGTGGTAATTTCACATGGCACGAGACAGCGGATGTGTTCGCCGAGGGTCTCGCGTGGGATTCATGGGGGTACCCCACCCCACAGGGCGGTGCCCCACTTCCCAGGGGGTACCTCACCTCCCAGGGGATATCCTGACCCCACACTCCCACTGGCAGGGAGGGACTATGCTGTAGAGCCACTCGCCGGAGCAGAGTAGGGGTCGTTTAAAACTTATAATGGAAACGTCTGCGTGTGCCATTGCAGGGCTTTATGGATGTATATTTAATTGACTTCCGCTGCCTCGGGAATTAAATATTTATGGTTCCCGGCCGAGTCCTGCTGAGGCTGCAGAGAAGAGAGGAGGAGGCCGCCCCTACAGACCCTGGCGTGACGCGAGAGTAGTGATGGCACCGTGCCTGAGTGAG